GACAAACTCCCTTGGCATGCTTATCTCTCTATTTGGCCGATTTCTACTCTTTACCGACCGCCTCCCCAAGCCTGGTAGAGGCTAGTCGGGCACCCGTCGGCAGGTGTCCGAGGAGCCTCCCAGACAGAAGGGGGCTATCAGCAAACGGATCAGAAGGACTTTTACACATGAACCGGCTGGTGATCTAGACAAGCATGAGCAGACAGAACAACTAGCTTTTTATTGTAGTATTGCCTTGATAATTTTGAACATCTACAAGCAATGTTGTGCAGACAGACTTTCAGTTTTAATGTGTTTTCAACAAATTGGCAAGCTTTCGTAATTGCAAAATATTTTTGCGGCTAAAACAAGTTTGTTGATTTTCTTCCTGTTTGTGTGATTATCCTAGTACATTACCTTTTAAAAATGAGCTTTAACCAGCTTTCTTGTTTTTGACTGTTATATGTGAATGCTGCCCGAAGGAGGTCATATATGTATATGTGAATACATGTAAAAAGAATGCTGAATAAAATTTGCGTACCATTTGTCGTATATTACAGAATTTAAGAATGCTTTAAGGTGCTTATATGTGGCGTAAACATTACGATTTTAAGCTTACTTTACAGTGCTTAAAAGTTGCTTAAATAAGTGCCATTAAGTACCTTTACGGATAAATTAAGCTAGCTTAAATCACTACATTTAAGGATCCTTTAAGACGCTTAAATGTAGTGTAAACATTACGATTTAAGCTAACTTTACGGTGCTTAAATGTTGCTTAAAAGAGTGCCATTAAGCACATTACGGATAAATTAAGCTAGCTTAAATCACTGTATTTACGGACACTTTAAGACGCTTAAATGTAGTGTAAATATTGAGATTTAAGCTTACTTTACGGTGCTTAAATGTTGCTTAAAAGAGTGCCATTAAGCACTATACGCACAAACTTAAAGCTAGCTTAAAAGTAACATTTAAGCACGCGTAAAGATTGGCTTAAATTTGCTTAAAGAGTGCCAAAACGGAACCTTTAAGCATGCTTTAAGACTGCTTAAATACCTGATTTCGTGCAGTGTATGTGGAGAGACAACACCAGTCTACCCCACTTCTAGCACTAAACACATGGTTGACTCTACTCTTAGCTTGTCTCCAGTCAGCAGCTCTTCTCCTTTTGATCTGTCAGAAATGTCAACATCAAAGGCACCGACATTGTCCCCAACACAGAGCAACACTCTCACATCAGCAACATTGTCCCCAACACAGAGCAACACTCCCACTGCTGACTCTAACCCAGGCTGGTCTACAGTCAGTACTGACTCTCCTTTTGCTTTTCAGTCAACCATGACAGAGAGCAATACTGACACGACTGATCATGGCATCTTCTTGCCCGTGCCCCTTTTTGCATCTCTGTGCATACTACCTGGAATCCTCTTTATATGTCTTATTGCCTTTGCAGTGAGGCACATGACATTGTGTAAAAGTAAGAAAAGGGATTCTTCTCTTCTGCAAGACTTTAGCAACACAAACCCCATAGGCATAGAGCTACAGGCAGTTAGCACAAGCGCAGAAGTAAACAGTCAATCTGAAACATTCCATACTGCAGCTGGTACAGAACACAGCTCAGTCAGGCATATCTATGATGACCCTGCTGATACAGCCGGGCATGACACGACAGGTGAAGTCAATCAGTCAGAAAGTCCACAACAAGGTGCAAGCAACAGCTCTGGTTATTTGACTATGAACCCTTTGCTTCCCCCTAAAAATCAGACTGGTCCCCAGGCTGCTGCCCAGGTTGAATCAGCAGATGCAACTGCTCGTACAATGATTAGTCCGTCACAAACATTACAGCCAGGCTCAGGGCAAATTCAGCATCTCAGCAGCTCTAACGATGATTATGAGGTTATGTGTTCTGGAGAAGGTCCTCAGTCCCACAAATATGAGAACTGCCATATGCAGGTGGCAGCAGCTGCTAAAGATGCTGCAGCTGGTCCGCAGGTTACCGTGCAAGAGAATGTTGACGAGTTAGTTGATAACCAATCACAGACAGCAGCTGCCCCTGGTGCTGACAGCCCTCACCACTATGAACCCCTGAGGAACCCCAGCAGTCAGCAGCAGCACACATACACATCCCTGATGCCTTATGGTTCACAAGGCAATTAGACAATTAATTGATTGATTGATTGATTGATCAATTAGAAATTTGATTGATAGATTCAAAAACACCTAGTAGTGGTTTTGAAGAATCAATATCTAAAAACAATGGTTGGCCCAGTGTAAACCTAAACCATATATTTCATATGATACAGTACTGTAGCACTTACTACAAGTTACAGTGACAGAACTAGTTTTACTGCAGTGGACACTTTTTGGTGGTACATTAATAACTCACTCACTAACGAACGCACACACTCATTCACTCACACACACACTCCTACACTCACTCACTCCCATAGCTTATAGTCAGCCATCGGGGCAGCATGATGTTTGGCAAAGCTGTTATAACACATATACTAAAATTCACTGTTGAAAGATACTTTTTTGACACTAATTTCATAGTTACAACTTCACTTTAAGTATTTTATAGTTTTCTTTTGTATGAAATTAGTTGCATAGAATTTCAGTGTAAAAAAATAAAGCGTCAGATACTTAAATCACACAAAATTGTCCGAAAAAAAGCTTGGACAGAATGCTTTTGGTGAAAGAGCTTGCTTGGTGGATACAAATTACAGCTGAAAGTTCTGTGAAAGAAATTGTATGTAATCGGCTCGTATAAGACACAGGACTGCAATCGGCTTGTATATATAGACTGTCACATAGGACTAGCATCTTGCAATGTAACAAAAGTTTCAAACTGTGTTGTGGATTTATATACAGAAAGTAACATCATTTTAGTATAAAGATATCTCTGTGATTTTTATATTTTCAACTTTTATATAGTAAACTTATCACTCTCCACATGTTAGGGTGTTAGACCTAAGTTTAGGACCTAAGTTTAAATACTTTGGATACTTATTGAATTTATTTACATGTACTGATAACAATAGTTAAAAGTGTTACTTTGCTAGAATTAAGCTTTTGGTTACAAATGACTGTTATTAGTGATACATACTGTACATGTACATAGCGAGTAGTTATTCAGTCTGGTAGCTTTGTACGAATTTGATAACTTCCATGAATTTAAATAACGGATGCTTTTATTAGTTAGACTAGTTTCTTTTTAATTAGTGAGTTATATAATGTTTACCTAGTAATACATACAAAAGTGCATGAAAAACTAATTTGAAACTACATTCATCATCATCATCATCATTCATCCTCCGTAGAGGTGGAGCATACAAAGTTAGTTCGCCACAACTGTCTGTCATACATCACTGAGAAAAGTTCATGTCCCTCCAAGCCAGTTTCAGTTTCAATAAGTTTCTTAACTGTTATCTTTGGGCGTCCAACTCTTCTCTTACAGGTATCAGGGTTCCAGAGTAGAAGCCTACTGGCTGGTTCTTCACTACGTATTACATGACCGGCCAAGCTTAGTCGTTGACATTTGACTACTGAAGTTACATTTGGTAGCGAACCGTATAACTGTTCATTAGTAGTGTGTTTCCACCATGGTGTATTGAAAACCACTCGCAACATCTTCGTGTATGTTCCGTTTAGTTTTCTAGAATGTGACATATTCATGACCCATGATTCTGACCCATACAAAAGAATTGTTTCAATACATGCCTTAAACACTTTGATCTTAGTTTGTTTTCTACATTATATACATGTATATAACTTTTGATCCTGTAGAAAGGACTTTGTTGGTTGATATAAACTAAAGAAACAGTTACTAGCAATAGGAATTGTCTATAAACAATTTAATACTGTCTTGCGACCTTATAATAAATGATCTGCTTGAAGATTATAAAGACTTTGTATTGTCATGATTGTTGTTCATGTCTGTGCAGGGCGTCCCATAGCCCCGCCCACTGCAGCCATGGCAACTAAGGAAGCCGTTTTTATTTATCTATTAATGTTTTGTTGTCCCTGCTTTGGGACTATTATCTCTCTTTACATGATCTCCTGGACTTCGGTTTTACTTGGTTCAATAACCGTTACACGTTTACTAAGTAACATAACATTAAAAACGGCTTTCTTAGTCGCCAAGGTTACGGCACTAATAATTGGGAAGTCGATCGAAATCCATATGCCCGAAGGCTAATTGCAAGTTTCAAACATAATCAAAGAACATTGACACAAGAGTATAGAATAACTTCAAAATCTACGTAATGAAATCTAGTTGTCTACAATGCATTATGGCTATGTCTAGAACTATGTCTGAAGGGTTTGACTTCTTTTTAAACCATGGAAGACGTAACGTTAATAATATACCACCTAGCGCACCTTAATAACATAGTTTGAAACTAAAAATAAAATCTCTTCTGTCTTCAGAATTTGACACTCTCTCCGTTTAATCGACGCTAAAAATAAAGGCCACATGTGTACCCTTTCTATACGTACCTTATTTGTAGTCTTGCGTGGTCAGTCCGCTGAACAGTAAGCTGGTTTCTCGCTGATGACTTCTGCGGTTCGAATTCTCCCGCTACGGCAGCCGCCATCTTGGCCAGTGGGTGAGGGTACCATTTAAGTGTCACGAATATGCAAATGAGGTGCCTTCCATATGCAAATGAAGCATCATTGGGTCATGTAAGCAAGCATACCTGTCCTTGGTGCTGAACACCATCCACACACAAACACACCTGTCCTTGGTGCTGAACACCATCCACACACACACACCTGTCCTTGGTGCTGAGCACCATCCACACACACACACACACACACACACACACCTGTCCTTTGTGCTGAACACAGGTTAGCACAAAAATGGTGTGCTTATGGGTTATGTTATGTTAATACAAAGAAAAACAATGCTTGGAATAAAAGTACACACAAATGTACATTGACCACATTTAATTAGTTTCTTTGAATTTATTAATAATTACAGATGATATAGAAAGGAAACGACATCAATGATTTTTTATAATGATGAATGTTGTGATGTTAGCATGATTAAGACATTTGTACAAACTGTGATAGTCACAGTCACTTAACAGTATAATTTACATTCAAATTCATAATTAGGATAAAACTTTATGTGATTACATTTAATTTACCAAATGTCCAATGTTAGACACTTGCATCCAGGACTGTGCTTTATCCAGAACTATGTGTCTCAAGAACCATTTCTGGGGTAAATCTACATTCTTGGATACACAGAGACTATCCAGAACTGTGCCTGCATCCTAACCCTAAACAATCCATTCAGGCATAGAACTAGATAGGAACAGAACAGTCTGGATACGATAGAAACTATCCAGAACTGTGCCTGATCCTAACCCTAACCCATTCAGACACAGCTCTGGATACAATACTGACTTCCCAAATTTAAACCAGTGCCCAGTATGACTCGGTAGTTTGCTATACAATGAGAAGATTGCAGATCTAAGACGGTTCTTCCTGGTCCGAGTACACGAATATCTGAGCGATGTCATCGTGTTCGTACGTCCGCTTTAGGTACGTGTCCGTCAGACGCAGGCCAGAGATGCTCTGAAAACAGACGACAAAAATACCTTGTGAAAAGTTGTCTACAAACTTTTAACATGTAAAGACTTATGCAAGAGATGCCAAACACCATCTGAAACACATGAGAGGCATACAAAATAGAAGAAAAGTTTAACTTTGTTTTGACCATAAGACTGACCATGAAAATTACTCTTCTTTTTAAATTTCTTTATTTTAAAACAATTTGGTTTTGAATAAGAATAAACATTCCAAAGTTAGCTCTACAGAGCACACAGATGTCTGCTTCACATAGCATTAAATATTCCCAATTGAGCAATTTTGAAGAATGCTTCAGCAGATGAAATTCAAGAAAAAGCTTGCTGTCTTGCAACAACCTAACCTGTAGGCCTGGTACTGAGGCCAGTAGTGTGAGGTTGAGTTCCATGTTAGTGTTGGGGCCCAGCTTGCCTAACTGTTTCCCAGACAGTCACTACAAATTACTGTTACATTACTATACTACTGTACATTACTGTACATTACTGACACATTACTGTCACTACTGTACTGACCTGTAGGCCTGGTACTGAGGCCAGTAGTGTGAGGTTGAGTTCCATGTTAGTGTTGGGGCCCAGTTTGCCAAGTTGTTTCCCAGACAGACCACACCAGTACAGTCCGCTGGTGCCATTGTTTTGCAGGAGTAGCAGGAGGTCCATTGTTCTCTCACTGGATGAGAGAAATGAGAACATGTCAAACATCACTTTTATTTATTTATTTATTAATCTTAAAAACAAAATAATGCGTTGTCCCTTCAGATGTTGAGGCTGATTTCCAAGGGAGCCCATGGAAACAATATACAGGAAAATGATGTAACATAAAACAATAACAAAGGAATTCGAAAATCATAAATCACGATGCAATAATAATGATCAGAGGTGTTTGAGTACCACAAAAATCGTAAGTAGCCTGGGTACCATCCAGATTTTCGCTAGCCTGGGCACCATCCAGATTTTCGCTACGCAACGCTCGAAAAAATCACGAGTGTTGCGTAGCAAAAATCCAGATGGTACCCAGGCTAGCGAAAATCTGGATGGTACCCAGGCTAGTGTTTGAGATGGTAAGAGGTCAAATTTCAAATAATACAATGATAACAAAGGTTGTTTGTTTGTTGGTTTGAGATACTCAAATAAACCTGCTGGCCACATTCCATTGAGATAATGAGGAAATTTTCAGCGTAAGACAAAATATAAGAACTCGAGATATTTTGATTTAGAACCTGAATGGTACATTTTTCAAATCAGACAAATTCATTAACAAGCAAATTCAAGAACAAATTAATTGTGGCCATACATACCAACAGTTGGTGACCCTGCACTTGAAGTTGAAGGGTTTCTCCATGGGGACTCCATCTGGGATCTGTTCTACTGTCAGTCGGATGTCTCCATAGCCCGGGGCCTGGGGGGGGGGCAGACATAGGGGGACACACATCAGTTACATGCATGGGTATTAAGAAGCGGGGCTGGAAATACTGCGTGCATGTGCACCTTAGTGCACCCAAATTTGCAGCTGTGCACCCATTTTTTTTTGGTGGGTGCACCGGTGCACCCAAATATTTTTGTAGGTATTTTTTTAACATATCAAATGTATAATACTATACAGGATATTCTTGGCATCTAAGTGTCAGAAAAATAATAAAATCTTTCTTGAAGTTAGCTCCCATTTTAGATTCAAGCTCAGAAGAGAAACAGTAAGATCTCTAATTATGTTTTGTTTTACATGGCGCATCCCAAAATTTTTTGTGTGCACCTATTCCCAAAAATTAATTTCGAGCCCTGAAAAAGTATTACAGTAGTATCAGTGGCAGGGAAAGTGATCTGGCACCTTCCCAGACTTATGTAAAGTACTGTTACAGTTACAGTATTATAGTGGTGTGTGTTTACATAAAGTAAATTATAACTGTTATATAAAACAGCACATTTGATTGTGTACTGTAGGTCTACATATATTACATATGAATGATTACAAATGCTAAAACCAGTCAATAAAAAATATAGGAAACCATACAATTATGCAAGTACCATATGTACACTTGGGTATGTTAGCCCCCAGGTGTTACTACATGTACACATGTATGTTTCCTTACATTGTTTTGTATGAGTGTGTTGTTATACTATGTCACCCAATGATCAGCCTGACTGCCTGCTATTGTATTGCCTTGTTACAGCAACAATGGGTATCAGCTACCCAAGGTGTTAGGGTCAGCCAAGTGCAAACAGTCCGACTGTGTGTGGATTACCAGTTACTGTAGCTGTTCTTTTTCATAAAGTCTTCACAGTCCAACTTCAGTGATATGGTATGGTTTAGCACTAACAGTTAAGCATCTTCACTTATCATGTCTTTTATATATACAGGCTTTAGCTTAACTGTTGTTATGTGTGAGCACCACCTTCACTCTATGAATGGCTTTTACATGGCCCCAGCTACCTGTATAGAATCTCTGATGCAAACATATGATTAAGTTACCAGGCCAGACAAAAGACGGTTGACATACAATCCATGTTACTCATGACTCAGTGGAAAGTCCCAGTCATGGTACAGAAAAAAGTTCTGGAAAGTCCAGGTCCTTAGAGGGAAACTCTCACAAGCACAGGGAGGAACAGACAAGTCTCTACCCAGGCAGGTTCACAGCTGTGGAGTCTCAGACATCCAGGTGAGATTTAGACATGTCTCAGACATCCAGATCATAACCTCTTAACCATAACTAGAAAATGTCTGAAATCAACATGACCAGCCTGGCAAACAAGCTACAGAACTTGGAGTTGTGCCTCAAGAGTCAACATGGACAAGAACTTGGGTATGGACAGGCTCTGAGAGAAGCCATTCTTAAAAAGGATGACTTTATGGAAGTAGAGGTCCTGAAAAGTCTTGGAGACCTGCGTCTTGAGAAAGCCAAGCTCAGTAAAGATTCAGCAGAGTTTGACAAGGCTGCTGCCCTGTATGCTGCTGCCTTACTGCGCTGCAAAAATCCAGATGTAGGTGAAACGGTGGAACATCGTATCCGCTACATGGAGAAACTCTCCAGACAACTGCTGCAGGGGTACAGTCCACACTTCCGGTGGCTGTCACCAGACTACTGGGGTACTGCTGACAGTAATGTCTTAAGGGTGGCAGAGATTTGTGACAAACTGGACAGAAGTGTGAGAAATTCCTATGAACAGACTTACACAGAAATGTTAGTGACTGCAATTGGGAACAGTGACATGTTCTTGGAGCTTGAGGTTCTAAAATCCCTCGGAGATTTCTACCTCAAGAAAGGCAAGACAACCTCTGATGTATCCCAGTTCTCCAAGGCAGCTGCCATGTACAACAAGGCCCTGACAACATGTGGGGACCCTGAGACAAAACTGACTCTGAAACATCGCATCAAGTACATGGACAAGATCAGGGAAGCAGTGAAAAAAGGTAAGAAGTGTCTGGAAATCAATGATTATTATTAGTAGCATTTGCATAAAATGGTAAAGGCTGTCACATATATAGAAAGCATTGGCTATCATCACTATATTACACAACTTGGCAACAAATGCAGGACATTGTGGTGTAATGTAGTTCAAATCTTCCAGAAACCATCATCAAAGAAACCAAGACCAGGAGAGAGAGAACCACACAAAGGACACCAGTCTGGGGACATCAGAAGAACTGACACTCAGGACCAACATCTCCAGACAGACAGCATAAGGTGGGGGAAATTTGAAACATGAGGACTAGTGATTCTACACTCGTCTGTCACTATCCAAAACAAAAAAATGTAAAAGTCTTATATTGTTCATCTGTGTAAGACTCATAACCATTATAGTTTAAGTAGTTTTACACAGTATGTTTTTTTTTAGTAGAATACACAGACCAGCTTAAGAGAGGAGACTCCTCCCTTGCCAGGGCAGACCTGGACTCAGCAGAGCAGCACTTTGCAGCTGCACTCAAGATAGTACATGTGAGAGGTAAGGGGGATTTGATTATTCTTCTCGAATGGACATGTTTTATGATCTTTTATCTGTAACAGTAATATTTACTGTTTTTTGGCATTGTGTAACTGTTATTCACATGAAACATCATGGGTAAAACATTTTGATTGTTCCTCTCCCCAGACCCCACAGCCCAGCAGTACCAGAGAGAGGTGGAGCCCCTGTGCAAGTTGGGGGATGTCTACAGTAAGCGAGGTCAGCAGACAGGAGATGGGGGAGACTTTGTCAAAGCAGCAGCGCTCTACAATGCAGCAATAGCCAGGTCAGAGGATCAAGTCCTCAATTGTAACATAGAAACAGCTATTAGAGAAGAAAACAACCTGTTTCTGAAATGCATCTTAGATGTTAATTGTAAAGGGCAAAACAACACAGAAAAACACAAGAAACAGCTGAAGAAGATGCGGGACCAGATCAAGCTGGAGATGGAAACCATTGACCAGCAGCTGGATCCCTATGTACATGATGAGGACGACCCATGTGTCAGAGAGATAGAGGCAAAACGAGCTCAGGCTGTCAGGCAGTTGTTTGACAAAATTGCACAACAAAGGAAGGAGTTCATCAGCCTGCTTGTAGAAGAGTGTATTGGGTTAATGGGCCCCCCTCCCTGTAAGTATGCCCTGATAGGTTTGGGTTCACAGGCCACAGGACTGGTAACTCCATACTCAGACCTGGAGTTTGCCATCTTGGTAGAAGAAGAAAGTGAAGAATGTCTTGTGTATTTCCATAACTTCACCCACTATCTACACCTCAAGGTGGTCAACCTGGGAGAGACCATTCTCCCAGCACTGGCAATAAAATCTCTCAATGACTTCTACTCTGAGAACCCACTTGACAACTGGTACTATGACTCTGTTACACCTCGTGGGTTTGCATTTGATGCCTCCATGCCAAAGGCAAGCAAGACTCCATTGGGCAGGCAGGGAACTAAGAACGAACCACCCAGTGAACTCATCTGCACCCCACAAAACATGGTTTCAAAACTACAAAAAGATGCCACACTATACCTGAAGGAAGGATATCACCTTGCCACTATCTTGAGAAACCCATGCCTGATAGCAGGGGACCAGGATTTGATTGACACATATATGGGCATCACAGTGGAGATACTGCAAGCTGATGGGGGAAAAATGGCTCAACAACTGGCACAAGAGATACGAAAGGAAACCATGGAAAGGATCAGCAATGAGGAAACAATTACAGCAAGGCTGACTGATGTGAAGAAAGACCTCTATCGCTTCCCAACTGTAGCAGTGGACTGCTTGGCACTGTCTTCAGGCATCATACCTACCACAGTTTGGGAGACAATACAAGAAATGAAAAAGCAACAAGTGATCAGTCCCAACAATGCACACCACCTGACAGTGCTTACCAGCATCTCAGCAGAACTCAGGCTCAGAACATACATGGCAAATGGTGGACAGAAGGAAAACTTGTCAGCTATGGCCTCAATGGAAACAACACAGCATGGACAGGAATCATCCATACAGACCAATGATGAAGCACAGACAAATATGCTCAAACCAGTTTTCTATCTGCCAAATGACAAACAGCTCTTCAGGTACTATTATACAGCAGTTCCGCTAAGAAGTGTTCTGCAAGAATGGTCTGAAAAGAGTCTGTTCTTAACTCATTTCCTGGCTTCTATGACAACTCCCCAAGGGCACAAGGAAGATGTACGATGAGTTATGCAAACATGAGCAAGCAATCGACTGCTTTCATGAGGCTCTGAAGAATGCTGATGGAACTGATGCAGAGAAAATTGAGCTGTTAAATAATATTGGAGTTGCTTATCATGAGGTGGGTGATTACAGGAACGGACTCAGCTATCTTGAACAGGCACTGCAGATGTGGAGGAGAATCTTTGGTCAGGGTACAGAACATCCTTACATTGCCACCTCACTCAGCAACCTGGGGTCAGCCTGGGAGTACGTGGCTGATTACGGGAAAGCAATCAGTTACCATGAACAGGCACTGCAGATGCGCAGGAGCATCTATGGCCAGAGTAAAGCACATCCTCACATTGCCACCTCACTCAACAACCTGGGGGGAGCCTGGGACAGCCTGGGTGATTGTAGAAAAGCCATCAGCTACCTTGAACAGGCACTGCAGATGCGCAGGAGTATCTATGGTGAAAACACAGCACATTCTGACATTGCAGAGATAATCAACAGCCTGGGGACAGCCTGGAGACACCTGGGTGATTACAAAAAAGCTATCAGCTACTATGAACAGGCACTTCAGATGCGCAAGAGTATATATGGTCAGGGTACAGAACATCCTGACATTGCTGGCTCACTCAACAACCTGGGGGGAGCCTGGAACCACCTGGGCAATCACAGGAGAAGCAATCAGCTACCATGAACAGGCACTGCAGATGGAGAGGAGTATCTATGGTCTGGGTAAAACACATCCTCGCGTTGCCACCTCACTCAGCAAACTGGGATCAGCCTGGCATCACCTGGGTGAATACAGAAAAGCTATTGGCTACCTTGAACAAGCACTGCAGATGTACAGGAGTATCTTTGGTAAGACTACAGCACGTCCTCTTGTTGCCATCTCACTCAACCACCTGGGGTCCACCTGGAGTGACCTGTGTGATTACAAGAAAGCAATCAGCTACCATGAGCACGCACTTCAGATGCACAGGATTATCTATGGTCTGGGTACAGCACATGCTGACATTGCAGGATCACTGAACAACCTGGGGGCAGCCTGGTGCCACCTGGGTGATTACAGGAAATCAATCAGCTACTATGAACAGGCATTGCAGATGTACAGGAGTGTCTATGGTGAGAATAAATCACATTCTGGCATTGCCACCTCACTCGGCAACCTGGGGGCCAGCCTGGTGCCATCTGGGTGATTACAGGAAAGCAATAGACTACCATGAGCAGGCACTGCAGATGCGCAGGATTATCTATGGTCTGGGTACAGCACATGCTGACACTGCAGGATCACTGAACAGCCTGGGGTCAGCCTGGTATAAATTGGGTGATTACAGCAAAGCTATCAGCTACCATGAGCAGGGACTGCAGATGTGCCAGGAGTATCTATGGTCAGGTAAGCACATCCTCTTGTAGCCACCTCACTCCACAACTTGGGGTCAGCCTGGTACAAACTGGGAGACCACAGTAAAGCCATCAGTCTCTGCCAAGAAGCCCTGGCTATGGCAAAGCAAGTTTACCCCCAAGACACAAGTCACCCATTGATAAAAGGTATTGAATCTAATCTTGCTAATGTGATTAGATACATGTAAAGTCTATTACCTTCAATGATCTGAACTGTAGCCACAAATAATACATATATACAACAATAATCTCTCCATATTCTAACAGTGATTACTAATTAAGTAAAACTTTCAGTTTGTTTCAGTAAGTACAAAGACTGTCAAATATTAAGAGAACAAAAGACCTTTTGCCCTCGAATAAAAGTATTTAGTCTAAACAAGTAATAACTATACAATTAATGTTTCTAGTAAGTATAGGTTAGGACTGGTGAATGGCAATGTATGTGATATTACTCTTTAACTAAGAACAACAACTGCACTGTTGTAAGAGAAACCAATACCTTACATATGTACAATCATGTGAAAACATTGAGATCATCAATCAAATTTAGTACTAAGTTCTAAAATCAAACATCTCTGTGAATTGTCAAAGAATAAAGATACCATGATGAGAACAACAGTAAATTGCCCCTTCATTTGACCATGATGTCTCATGAACCTCCATGGTACAAACAACTTTGTGTGTGAGTATGGTTATGTGCCTGTATGCATGTATAATACATGTATGTGTACGTGTTTGCGTAATGTCTATGTACACAGTTATTGTATGTGTATGTGTATGTGTGTGTGTATGTGCATGTGTTTGTGTGTGTGTGTGTATGTTTATGTGTATGACTGTGTATGTGTATGTGTGTGTGTGTGCACATGTGTATTCGTGTGTGTGTTGCACCTACTTGCACCTACCATCCTCTGTAGTGGACTAGTCTGCAGCCTTCCCTTCTCCCCCATGTTGGTTTTCCAGATGATGTCCAGTAGTTTGTGTGTGTACATGTGTGTACATATAATGTGTGTGTACATGTGTATGTGTGTGAGTGTATGTGTGTATGTGTGTGTGTGTGTGTGAGTGTGTGTGTGTGTGTACATGTGTGTGTGTGTGTGTGTGTGTGTGTGTGTGTGTGTGAGTGTGAGTGTGTGTGAGTGTGTGTGTGTGTGAGTGAGTGTGTGTGTGTGTGTGTACATGTATGTAAGACTTACACCTACCATCCTCTGTAGTGGACTAGTCTGCAGTCGTCCCTTTTCCCCCATGTTGGTTTTCCAGATAATGTCCAGTTTCCCGATGTTCGTCACCCCTTTAAGGACCCCCCGTGGAGCTCCGACCTCTGCCTTGGGTTTGAGACAGTACAGGTACTGCCGGATGTCCTTGGGGTTCAGGTACACCGACGTCCCAAATATGGAGGTACCTGCCCTGTACAACACAAAAACACAAGGTCGTTTCAAGAGCAATTATTACAACTGCAGCATTCCAAATATGTACCGGACTGTACAAAACACAAACACAAATGATACCAAGGTCATGTCAAGGGCATAGAACATCCCTGTACCCAAATACAAACACCAAGGTCGTTTCAAGGTGTAGGACAGCAACATCCCAAGTATGGAAGTACTAGCCCTGTACACAACATGACACATTAACACAAGGTCATTTCAAGGGCATAAAACAGTAACATTCTAAATATGGACTTATAGGCCCTGTATAACATGGTTATTATCTTAAGGTCTTATTAATATCTAACTTGAGTCTTCGAAGTTAGAGTTTGATATGTGAACAAATCTAGGTGTGATTCTCTATGTGAAAGAATGGCTAAAAAAAAGGTCATGTTCAGATTTAGATTAAAATTACACACATGGAGTTGACAGGTCATTGGGTAGTCTTCCAAACTACATGAGTAAATTTCTTAAGGATGAAAAAGTAAGACTTCTGATTGTAAGGTGTACACAACTCACTTTTCCTCAGTGTTGAGTTCTGACACACTGTAAGATGGGGAGGGTTCCAGTGAAACCTTCTCCATAACCATCGGAGCTGCCGTGATGTTCTGTACCTGTGCCTCCAGGTATACCTCATCCGACTGGGGAAGAACAAACAAGGGTTGCTTTAAAAAAACAATATGGCGACGTCTAGCACATTAACAGAACATATTGCACCTGTGGGGAATCACAGTTGGTCAACACTGCATCAGAATATTGTCTGTTGCAGAATCTGATGATATCTTTTCTGACAAAAAGTTTGAAAACTACAGATGGGATGTCATCCTAAAAAGTGTGAATAAGACCTTACAACATAAATGCTATATATTCTGTAAAAGTGCTTAAGTTTGCACATAATGTTCCACATTTTTCACAAGTGCGGTAAAAAAATTGTTCTGCTGATGTGCTGCAATGTGTAAGCTTTGGGTGGATTGTCGTCAACAAACAGTTACATATTAACAACAGAACACTCCGGGCTTCATATTTAAAGGATTCACTTCATTTTCACATTTATGAAACTGTAATGCTTTCAACATTTTTTAACTTAATTTCTAGAGTTACACCAAATTGAATTGATTTACACCAAAGTCAACTTGACTATTGCAGTATGACTTTCAAACTTTGATTGAAAATATTAACCAATATTTGATCTCAATATTCTAGAAAGGTGAGCGTTTTGTGCATAACCCCTATCTTGTGCACATCAAACTGTTTAAAGTTGGTGAGGTTTATGGAAACAAATTAAGTTAAAGTTGTGACTGATGAAATGGTGATGGTGGTAGAATTTAAACGGTAGAAAAACTTTAAAATAACAAAAGGAAAATTAGCAAATGATAAGCATGACTAAAAAAGGAAACTCACAACATGATCCTGGGAGCATAAAGACAAAATCAGCAGTTAGTTAATTAGTTAGTTAATCAGTTAGTTAATTAGTTCAATAACAAGCATGAATGGATGATGGGTTAACATACAGTTGACAGTACAGTAATGGTAAAAACAATTGATGTAGAAATCATACCAAAATCAATCAAAATCACTCAAAGATGAAGGAAAATGTTGATGTTTTCAACAAAAGAAATCATAATGTTTTAGCAATTAAAAATTATGAATCATTCAAACAATATTATAAAGAAGCAATATTGAAGACAGGATTAGCCATATATATGTACATTGTGTAGACTTTTTATGGTCAGTCACACACACACATGGACACTGACCTCGGCATTGTAGAACTTGGTTTTCACATCCAGAGGTTTCAGGACCTTTGGGAAAAGGTGAGAAATTTTGTATCTATATATGATCTATATAAGTTTCATTAAGCATGATACATTGCAGGCAACTGTACATATCTAGCATACATTTACATGTAGGCGGAAGAACATTGCATGTTCACTTCAATTACTTTGATACCTTCTCTAAACATGTCTTTAAAATGTCTTCAAATGTCTTGAATGGAAGTAAGAGAGTCTGTATCTGTATCAGGTACAATGAATATGTAAAACTAATGATATTTACCTGGAACTTGAAGAATTTTCTGAAGTACATTTTCTCAGAAGACTGAGTTGTGTAGCTGACTGCACAGACCAGGCTGGGGGAACAAAACAACAGGTGGGTCTGACTAACATGCACCTCAGTGTCAGCATCAATAATACAACACAAGATCTTGTTTAAGCTTCTTTCTATCCAATGACGTGTCACTTGATTTTCCTCAGACCAACACAAACACACAGAAACTAAAAATGACGAAAAAAGGAATTTGTAACGTTTTAAAATTCCTAAACAAAACTAAACATTGCCTTTCATATATGTGCACATGCCCATTGAATTTATCTCCTATTGACTCCTACTTGTGAGCCCTTAAAGTTAACAAAATCATTGTTTGCACATTCAACCTTTGTGAACTTTTCAGATGACCCTCTACATGTGTATGCCCCCAAAAAAGAAATTTCTAGAAATTTGTATGAAGACAATCCCTTACACATGCACGTCCCTAAACAAAATCAATCCCATTTGCACAGCTTGTATGAAGTTTTGAGCCACCCCTTACATGTGTAAAAGTACAGGTAAATAACTTTCTTTAGCAGGAATTTTTTAACTTTTGAGCCGCACCCTTACATGTGTTAATGGCAATAACTTTCCTTATAAGGAAATTCTGAACTTCTGAGATGCCCCTTTACATGTGCATTTCCAAAACAAAATAACTTTATTTAGCATGACTTGCATGAACTTTTGAGCTGCCCCCTTACATGTGTGTTCCTAGTTCCTTGACCTCATGGTGTATGACCTCGTCGATGCTGCCCTCTGGACCGAGCTCCGGGATCGGTGGACTGCTGCCCCCCGACAAGGTCAGTCTCTGGGAGGATGTTTGAAGGTCGGCCTGTGGGAACAGGTCAAAGGTCATCATCAAACAACAGATCAAAGTCTGGCTATTATTTAAAATGTTTGACTTTATTAGGCTGACAATGTATTTTAGTATTGGTACCTCAAACTTGGATATAACCATGTATAAAAACTACAATGCCATTCAACGCCATTGGGGTATACTAAGGACAATTTTACTTGTTTAGCGATACTATATAAAAATAATTCATCATTCATTCATCCTTTCATCCATCCATCAATCTATCCATCCATCCCTCCATCCACCCATCCCTTCATCCATCCATCCATCCATCCATCCATCCATCCATCCATCCATCCATCCATCCATCCATTTGTTCATTTATTCATTTGTTCATTCAGTCAGCAGTATCGTTTATATTCAATGATTTGTTTCTAGTAGATCCCCACATGAGTTAGAAAACTGAGTAAAACAACCAAAAGTTAAGAACAGTTGCGTCTCAGTTCAATCTGATAGCCATGTATCTGTAATGTTCCCTGACCTTGACCATGATGTCCTTGACCAGCTGGGTGCTGTCGTTGTGAACACAGACGTAACACGAGAACGTCTCGCCCAGGAAGATGTTCCTGTAGAGGACATCATTGAAGGTTATACATTTTGTACCAAAGGGCAGATATACATATTAGTATATAATCTATATAGATAATGATCAGTACCTACACCCATTCAAATTTCTGTGGCAGTGTCCATTGTAGACTTTGTCAATATGCTAGGAAATACTAAGCCACTGGGCTATGCCAAAGGACATTCTTCTTCTTTTCAGATACCCTTGAACAACCCCTGTACGGGGTATCACTGAGGGGGGAAGCAGTACACGGGTTAGGGCAGGGCGGCTTCTACCCTGGCCTTAAAAGCCTCCACTGTCGGTGACCCAATTCAGACTTGTTAAGCTATAAACAGAATATCACTATCCACACCCACCCAAAGTTCTATGGCAGTGTCCTTGCAGCTCTTCCATTGAAAACTTTTCAACATGAAGGTTTTACCAGAGGGCAGACATATTAGCTAGCATAAGCTGCTGGGTTGATGTTGCTAAAAGACATGTACTAGTACTTAGTCTAGTAAACTGGCTGCACCATACATTTACAGATATACTTGCATAAGTATACAGGTACAAGTATGTATGGTGATAAAGATATACATTTATCACCATACATTTGCTCACAGATATATAGATATATCCATATATATATCTGTACCTACCCAAAGTTCTGAGGCAGAGTCAGCAGCTCTCCCATTGCGAACTCCTCCAGACCTACAGAACTCGCCATGTCCGACCGGACTACCTGGGAAAACGTTGTGCCTACCGAGGGAAAATCAGAATAAAGACATGAACAATCATGTACTCTAGAGTATCCTTCTCCAAGCTTACACATTTACAGTAGTGATCATGAGAACTTTGTGTATCCAAGAATGTAGTTGTTATGGACAATCCAGAACTGTGCCTGTCCATGGTGCTGGATAAGGCACTGTCCTAGATACAGATGATTCTGAACACACAGTTCTGGATGAAGCACAGTTCTGGATAAAGCATGGTTCTGACTAAAGCCTGGTTCTGGATAAAGCGCAACACAAGTGTGTCATACCTGGCAGGTCCCTGTCATCACAGGTGATGGGGGTCACGTGGAGGAAGGTGGGCCGGGTCAGCCGCATCACTGCAACAACAGGTCAGGTTACATATCAGATTACATGTCACATATCATTTCATATCACATCATGATCATCATCATGATTTATGAGTATCTAGTAGAATATCTAGACTGTGGTCAGGCAGGGCATCTGATATCATATCAACCTACGTTACTTAAGCAGTGCATGGTAGATGGTAGACACTGGAACAACATAGAATACATTTACATCATAACATATCATATCATATCATACTGTATCATATCACATATATCATAACAATCATGATCATGTCATATTTCTTCTTCTTCATCTTCCCACGTCTCTACAACACATTATGACATAAAGTAGCACATTTAGGACTTTCGTAGCCCCATAATGATATTTTCTACACTGACTCCCTGAGCATGATGTCCCTCGCAGGACCTTGGCTCAGTAATCATATAAGATAAGATAAGATAAGACTCTGGTTGTCCTACACAGGGAAGAGTTCAGGACTGATAATTATAACTGCGTTATCCATGCTTCAATCAATTTCAACATCACACACGAAACAAGTTGCCAAAAAGTGGGGGAGGGGGGCGTTGCTTATTGACCTCCATTACCATTGAGGACTCCTTTATTTGTAGTTTCGTAAGTTCTTCTTTATAACCGTCGTATGTCATTAACGTTGGATGAATCTAGACCCCTTCTAAGCTTTCCCAAAGACACAAAAACTCACCTTTTAGAGCAAGGAGATGTTCTTTTTCTCGATTCGGCTCCATCTTGGATTTGGACTGATCCATTTGTAAAACTGCGAGGGGAGTTCGGAAAATGAATACAAAATCAATATTTAGAATAATGTAAAGATACTCATATTTTACATTAGAATTACTAATATTATGAGTTAGTTTTGAAATCTTACTATTATATTTGATAATATACGTAGATGATAAAATTATTAGTACTGTTTACTCTTTATACGTACCCTACAAAGTGGACTAATCCGGCAAAATGGCGACGGCAGAGCCAAGAAGCATTTTGCAGCGAAGACCGGGAAAATCCAACGTAAGTCGATTTTTCTGCTCGATTTTGTCCTGTTCAGCAATTTTTAGTAAATCTAGAACCTCATAACCTTCTATTCGTCTCAATTCCCAGTCTTGTACCTTCGCAAAAACGTCGGAAACGTTGTGTTTACATCTGGGTAAGTTGTGGGAGGGGCCGGTTTGTTTTTGTTGTGGTTTTTTGCTTCCACATCATCCCGTATGACGTCATAGCCTGTTCGCTCCGACAGGATTTATATAAAAGTTTTGCCCAATTAACATTCTAGTTTTTACAGAGAGTAACGTTGAGTTGACATATTTCTAACGGCATTTTCTGCAAGTACGAGGTCTTTTATTGTATTGAAAAATACCGGTTTGTCATAATTTTGTGGGCTATATCAGGAATAGTCATTAGAATTGAATGTTGGCATTGATTAAGAGGCCTTTATTGTACGTTTATGCTCTTCCAACTAAGTACAGGTCATGGTGAAAAATCAGTTGTAGTTGCAATTACAAAGAGATATTAATAATAGTCAAGATCATATCTGACTACTTTCCTCATAGCTTAATCTAAAGTTATATATTATATTTAAGTTACAAGTTCTATGTACAACTTCTTAATGCAATCTTTCTTATTTCCTTCTTGACTCTTTTTTCTTTTTTTATTGTTCTCTGTTCAACTTCTATCTCTTTTCTACTCTCCCCATATACACACTTCTACTTCTGGTGAGTTTTTGTTTTGTTCAAATACTTTGATTCTTTTCCTTCTGTTCTTGCTTGTAGCTTTTGCTTTTGATCTGGGATGAGATGCTTTAGTATTAAAAATTCCATGATCATATTAACCTTAACAGCAACACTGATGATTTCAGAAAAAGGATTTTGAAGGATTTTATAAGGAGGCTCACAATTAGGAAATTACATGTGCATTTGCATGTGCAGAATGATAAACATGCAATGCCTGGGCATTTATAAAGCATAGTCTGATATGTTTTCTACATGTCTTAGCCTTTTTTACTTTTGACACTTGACAAAAAATCTGCAGTTGTGTACTAGTATTCATGTGAACCTCCATATTAATGCCAGCACATCAGCAGAACGTACTGCACCTGTGTGAAACCCATTATTTATTGTGCATAGCTCTTTGGCAGAACTTTTGGCAGAACTCTTATAAGGTTGTACTTGGGTATATAACTATAAGGATGACATCCTGTCTGTAGTTTCCAAATGTTGTGCTGGACAATATATCGTCTGCAATAGGCAAATTTCTGATGCAACAGTGACCAGACATCTAACAAAAAGCATGAAAAAATTCGGGCTTCAAGATGTTGCGGTACGTTCTGCGAACGTGCTCTTATTGCCAAATATGACCCACATATCCCACCATGCCTTGTGACCTATCCCACCATGCCTTGTGATGAACATGTATCCCATGCTGCCTTGCAGGTTCTGGAGTGCGGGGTGTGCGAGGATGTGTTCGGTCTCCAAGGCGACAAGGTGCCACGCCTCCTGCTGTGTGGGCACACCCTCTGCCACGACTGTCTCACCCGCCTGCCGCTACACGGGCGGGCCATTCGCTGTCCCTTCGACAGGCAGATGACTGAAATAGGTGAGGGTTTTTGTTAAAACTTTCGATCCAACACAAAGTTTTCTCACCTAGAGCTTTCGACCAGTCACTCTGGTCTTCCTCAGTAGACTGACCCAGTGAAGCTTGTCAGATTTTGATTTTGTGGACACACCCTCTGCCATGACTGTCTCATACGGCTGCCGCTACACGGGCGGGCCATTCGCTGTCCCTTCGACAGGCAGATGACTGAAATTGGTGAGGGTTCTCTTGATATTTCTTAATGATTCAGGTCTGGTATTTGCCCACTCTACCTCCCTACCAAATTTCAGTTCATTTGGCCCCAAAATGAAGAAATTAAATCCATTTAACAAAATGACTGTTGTACATCTATGGCTCCTTCCCTTTCAACAGACGGGTGAACAAAATCGGTGAGGTTTTTTGTTATGTTTACCTTGGCAGAAGGAAAATATAGTTTATCCTCTGGTGTTTCTTCTCCTTTGTCTTCTTATTCTGCAATTTCTTTAGATGGATGCAAATTCATTTTGTGGCCAAATGATCTCAAAGTATAAAGGTAGACTACTGGGCAAATACCCAGGAGGTTTTGTCATTTTTTTGATACAACAAAGCTTTTTTGATGTTATCCTAATTTCTCAGGGCTATGTAGTTCTACCTTCAGCTTGCTAAGGTAGCTGCTTGCACCAAGAATGTATTAGTTACAGAGTTAAAGTAAGTAGCAGGGAGAAGGTTAAAGGACAGTCATATCTCCCCAGACATTGTTTTTTTCTTCATTTATTTTCGTAAAGTCTTTTAGAATTGTTTTATTCACCTTGGTACTGTGACACATTTCCAGTGTCTCATCAGGGGTATTTACCCACTCTACCTCCCTACCAAAATATAGGAATGCATTTAACGAAGTCACTGTTATACATGTATATCCATGGCATCTGTCCTTGGTGCTGATTCCCTGATAGAACTTGTTGTTAAAGTAACACAATTCTACGGTGCTTAGGTACGTATACCATGCTTTGATGAATGATGTTGTTTGATGGTTAAACATGTACATTCCCCCATATACAGGGGACTCGGGAGTCTGGGGGTTAAAGAAGAACTTTGCCCTTCTGGAGCTGCTGGAGAGACTGCAGTTTGGCCGAGAGTCACCGGGGGCGCTGCTGTGTGATGTCAGCATGGACACGGAGAAAGAGGTGAGAGCTGTGATCATGGTTAATAATAATTGCCTGTCAGTTTTAAACTAAACTATCTGCAGGTCTGAAAATTCCACCAGTACATTGTATATGCAGAAGATTTACACTCAAAACTAGATAGAACACTATACAGACATGTCACATGGGACGTCAAGACCAACTAAAACACTATACACAAATGTGTTCATATGTTACTGCTCTGCTTATATGTTTACTCCTCTATGCAGACCACAATCCGTTGTGATGAAATTGATGATCACCTGGCCACTATCTACTGCACAGTCTGTAGCACTAACCTGTGTGCTGAGTGTGCCCAGTCAACACACAACACTCGCACTCTGGTCTTTCTTTCAGATTCACAATCTTTGATTCTCCTGCTCATATGCAGACCACTATCTGTTTTAGGACCACCTGGCTACAATGCTCAAACTGTGCTAGCTAGGGAGTCCAAATCATAGTGTAGAGGGCTCTAAACTACATGTATCTTAAACACTTTACACAGACATGTTGATGCTTAAGTGCTCTGCTCATATTTTTCCTGAAAACAGTTTTTGAGCTATGTGTTCCTTTGTATTTATACATGTCTGTCTTTGCCACCAGACCACAGTCCATTGTGATGAGATAGAGGACCACCTGGCCACTATCTACTGCACAGTTTGCAGCACTAACCTGTGTGCTGAGTGTGCCCAGTCAACACACAACACTCGCACACTGGCCAAGCACAAACTTGTCCCTCTTCATGAGAGACCGAGGGAGAAGCCCATGTGCCCACTGCACCAGACTCATGCCATCGAGTTCGCGTGTCTGGAGGAGAGTTGTCTGTGCAACCCACTCATGTGTTATGTGTGCAAGGACTATGGAAAACATCAGGGGCACAAGGTGGGTCTTAAAGTCTTTAGGATGTTTTTGAGATATTTTTAAGTGTTTGTGTGCCTGGAAGAGAGTTGTCTCTGTAACCCACTCATGTGTTATGTCTACAAGGACTACGGAAAACATCAAGGACATAAGGTGGGTCTTAAAGTCTTTAAGATGTCATGAATTTGTCTTGAACTTGAAGTCTTGAAGATGTGTTTGAGATGTTTCTAAGAGTTTGTGTGCCTGGAAGAGAGTTGTTTGTGCAACCCGCTCATGTGTTATGTCTGCAAGGACTACGGGAAACATCAGGGACACAAGGTGAGTCTTAAAGTCTTTAAGTTTCAAGATGTTTTGAAAATGTCTTGAAGAGTTTGTGTGTCTAGAGGATAGCTGTCTGTGTAACCCACTCTTGTGTTATGTCTGCAAGGACTATGGAAAACACCAAGGACACAAGGTGAGTCTTAAAGTCTTTATAAGATGTTTTGGTTGTCTTTAGGTTGCCTATAAGAAGTCTTAAGCAGTTTATGTGTCTGGAAGAGAGCTGTCTGTGTAACCCACTCATGTGTTATGTCTGCAAGGACTACGGAAAACACCAAGGACACAAGGTGAGTCTTAAAGTCTTTATAAGATGTTTTGGTTGTCTTTAGGTTGCCTATAAGAAGTCTTAAGCAGTTTATGTGTCTGGAAGAGAGCTGTCTGTGTAACCCACTCATGTGTTATGTCTGCAAGGACTATGGAAAACACCAAGGACACAAGGATTAGACTTTTAGGATGTCTTAAAGATGTCTTAGAGATGTCTTGAAGTTTTCTTGAGGTGTCTTAAAGATGTTTTGAAGATGTCTTAGAGATGTCTTGGAAATATCTTGAAGATGTCTTGAAGATGTCATGAAGATGTCTTGGAGATGTCTTGAAGATGTCTTAAAGAGTTTGTGTGTCTTGAGGTGATTTGTCTCTGTAACACACTCATGTGTTGTACGTCTGTAAGGACTATGGGAAACACAAGTGAACCTTAAAGATGTCTTGAAAATGTCTGGAGATGTTTGGAAGGTGTCTTCAAGAGTTTGCTTAGTAATTGACATTAATTAGTGGATTTATTGATTGATTAATAAATTGTTTGATTGGTTTTCTTCATAAGATTAGCTCAGACACTGTGCAGTACAGACATAGGTACAGTCTATCATACAAACACCCCTCCTATGGGGACACAATGGTACGGTCCATTTCTTAATCAAAATATAAATGATACAGACTCAATACAGCCTTCAAGCATCTTGCAACATCATATATCATTTATATACAGCATCATGAGGCACAGGAGTACTTAGAACTGCAATAGACACAGGTACAGCTTGTTGTAAAAAAAACCCTCCTGTAGGGACACAATGGTACGGTCCATTTTTTACAAAAATAAAAATGACACAGACTCAATCCTTCAAGCAGACAAATATCATATATCATTTATCCAAAGCATCATGAGGCACTGAAGTACGTAGAACTGCCATGAAATGTGTTACTCTAACATTGTATATACAGTACTGCATGCACAACATGTTGTACCAGGGTTTCAGCACCAAGGACAGGTGCCATGGCTGATATTACAAATTGCTGTAGCGTCTTCATTTTTGGGCCAAACTAGCTGAAATTTGGTAGGGAGGTGGAGTAAGCAAATACTCTCAGACGATTTTCCCAGTTTTTTTATACATGTCTTTAAAATGGTTTTATTAAGGTTTTTAATGTTTTTTTCATACTTTGCATGCTTTGCATGTACAGTGTTTTGCATGGCCATATTTGACTATATAACAAATCGCTGCAGCTTCTTCATTTTTGGGCTAAACTAGCTGAAATTTGGCAGGGATGTAGAGTGGGCAAATATCTCCAGGCGTTTTTTTTCAATTTTGTGATGCAGGCCTTTGAAATTGTTTTATTTAGTTTTTTTTTTGTCATTTTTGGACAAAAAATGTATATTTTGGGCTCTGGAGCCCTTGTATTAGGGACAAATGACATGAAAATTGGTATCGGAGTACCTTGAACATATGCTCAGAGAATGTCTTTCTGACATATGACATATGACATATACCACTCCAAAATTGTGTAAAATTTGTCTTTTTTGCTATTTTAGCCAAAAAATATACATTTTTTGCTCCTGTGCCCTACTAGAACAACCAAATGAACTGAAATTCAGTATGGGGATGCCTTAGACATGTGCTCACAGAATGTCACTCACAATGGGACTTTCTGCCATTTTTAGACTGGCTCCTGGCTCTAGTTTTTACAATTTTTTCCCATTTTCAGCACACTTTGATAGAGAATGACGCAGAGCAGGTGCGCGTGTCGATCATCGACACCCTGCAGCACGTTAAGGGCTTCCTGGACGAGGTTTCGGACAGCGCCCGTCGCCTAGGCAACGCGATCCAGCAGATGGAGGGGTGTTCTCGGACTGTGGAGAACGAACACGGCTTCACACACACAGAACAGGTGAGAGCATTATTCATCCATTATAAAACTTGTCTCATATGAAAATGATTTTTTGTTTCTGAATGGATAAGTCTTCACACAAACAGAACAGGTCAGGGGGGAAACGTCTGTTTGATAAAAAAAAGTAGTTTTCTGGAGAATATTGAGAATAGTGAGAGTCCTAACAAATCTATGCTCAGTTCAGCGCATCTCTGTTTCATAGCCCTTTGGCCACACAGTTGTGCAATCACTACAGCAGGGGGCTAGTTCACTAGTGGTGATGTGTTTAACTCCCATACCCTTTCCCAAATGCTGAGTGCTAAGCAGAGAAACCAGTATGTACCATTTTTATTAAAGTCTTTGGGATGACTCGGCCGGGGATTGAACTAGCAACCCCCAGGTGCACTGAGTGCAAGGCCATTGCACTGGTTGTAAGACATTATGTTCTTCTTGTCCCTCCCAGATCCATGGAACAGCAGAAGAGGCTCATGTTTGCATCCGTCAGTACTTCCAGGACAAACAAACAAACAAACAAACAAATAAATAGAAATGTTCTTATTTCCCCACAGGTGTTGAATCAAAAGTTTTAACCCTATACAGCTCTTCTTCTTTTCCCCCACAGGTCCATGGAATGGCAGAAGAAGTGCGCATCTGCATCCGCCGGTACTTCCAGGGCAAACAAACAAACAAACAAACAAACAGAAATGTTCTAATGTCCCCACAGATGCACGGGACAGCGGAAGAAGTGCGCATCTGCATCTGCCGGTACTTCCAGGACAAACAAACAAGCAAACAACAAACAGAAATGGTTTTACAATGACAGCAGACTTGCTATTTTCATCTTTGTGATGTAAGACATCGTGACCAGTTCTTTTTCCTCACAGGTTCACGGGACAAACAAACAAAGATATCCACAGTTACAGTACCAGAAAGCAAAATGATTTAAGGCCAATCCTAACAAAATCAAATATGAAACAGTTTACGATAATGTTTAGAGGCCCGTTAATTTGGAACAGTATAAGTCATTCACAGCAGAATTGCCAATCCCTTCCAACTTTCAAACGACATTTAAAAACTGACCTAATAGAGAAGCCATCTACCACTTCCTGATTTGCTTTTGTTTTCCTTGTTTTCTTATGCTACGATATTTTCCTTGCGTTAATATTGGTTTCTTAAGTTGTTCTTACCATATTAACTTATGATTTGACTAATGGAAATGTATTTTTTGTTGAATACGATATGTTTTTGATTGTCTTACTTTATTGTTTAGATATTTAGTTTGCCTTGTTAACTTTATATTATCTTGTTTGAGTTAATTTTCTCTTGTTTGTCCCTTAAAGACATGCATGTTAATTGTTAACGTAAATAATGTTGTAAATATGAGATCGTCAACAGGACTTGGGAGAGCCCACTAGATAAACCTCCTGGTTTCTTGGGATCTCCTGCATGTATTTGATTGTACATAATTTCTTTTTATACCATTACTTTTTTTATGTGCGAAAGGACAATAAATAAACAAACAAACAAACAAACAAACAAATAAACAGAAATGTTCTTATGCCCCCCCCAGGTGCATGGAACAGCAGAAGAGGCTCGCATCCGCGTGCGCCGTTAGTTCCAGGACAAACAAAAAAACAAACAAACAAACAGAAATGGTTTTACAATGATGACAGTCTCTCTATCTTCATCCTTGTGAGCTCTTCTATCAAAAAATGTTCATCTGTGTTGGTAGTTACATGTTAAGAGTTTCTATGGACACTGTAAGAATATTGGACACTGAACAAGACCATTTCCTGAGAGGGGTAAAAGAGACTATTTACATCAGGGCCCATCACCCTTCACGCAACTGCGACGGGGGCCGACATCGTCTACCAGATACCTTTGACCCAGTGTTGACGTCACACTTCAAAGAAGCCACGTGACAAGCCTCACTGGGTCAGTCTACTGAGGAAGACCAGAGTGACTGGTCAAAAGCTCTAGGTGAGAGAAGTTCTTTGTGTTGGAACAAAAGTTTTAACTCTCTTCTTCTTCTCTTCCATAGGTCCATGGAACGGCAGAAGAAGCTCGCGTCCGCGTCCGCCGTTACTTCCAGGACCTCCACGAGACCCTCCATCGACAGGAGAACGCCGCTCTGAGCGTCGTCGACACGCACGTCCGTGAAAAACTCTGCTCCCTCAAACAACAGCAGGAAGACATGGCCGTGGTCGTGTCTCAGGTCACTACAATCTGTCTGGAGTGTGAGAAGATGCTGCAACAGGTGAGTTATACCTGTCTTAGGTCAGATTTCACACCTTAACGTACATGACACACCCATGTCTGTTACTGTGAGAAACTCTGCTTGCTGAAACAGCAGTACAAAGACATGGAAGTTATATAGATATAGTCCACGCATATCAAGAATCGTGCCTATGTTGTTGGTTACATGCACGTGGAGACTCAAACCCATTCAGGCATGAACTACAATGTAGATAGGCACGGTTCTGGCTACAATAAGCTATTTTTTATTAGCCAGCTCCCAGCTGATAAGATGATAAGGAAAGGATGCCCACTGATTGGCTAACGTTTCTAACCAATGAGAGAGCCTGACCCCTGATCTCTGTGTTGCCAGGACGACCACAAGATTCTGCTGGCAAAGCAGGAGATCCGGAGTCTGCTGGACACGGTCAGGAAACAGCAACAGCAGTTCTGCGACCTTCCGGAACAGCTCAACATGGACGCCGGGATTCCTCTTACATTCACCAAGGTCAGTACTCCCCCCCCCCTCATACACACACACATATAGGGCAGACACCACATTTGCGTTGCGCAGTAGAGGCCTCAAAATGGGAACACGATTGTAGTGCCTAGTTAATACCTTTGAAAACCTTTTTTTCTCTTGAAATTTTTGGTCCATTTTGGAGATTTTTGGGCTGGAAGGCACAGGTAGGGTCTAAACTTTCCTACATTGGTCAAGTTTTGTTTATTTCACCAGTTTAGTGGGCGTAGTGAGAGATGTGAGTGGTTAGGTCTTGTCTGGCCAGGCGGATGGATACCATGGAAAATGTAGGTCAAAGTTGAGGTTTTTTTACTATCATCAGCTGTGGCGGGAATTTGAGATGGTCAACCCCCCGTTTCCTTTCTATTTTGGGAATCAGACCCTTGTTGCTACCTGGTGCAGAAAAATTTTTGAGATTGGAGTATGGGCAAGTACTTTCATGAGGTGTTGAAATAGTGTATTTAAGCATGTGTTCCTATGGCAAGATCTGATAGTACTGTCTGCCATGTACCCCCCTCCCTCACACACACAGCAGTTCTGCGACCTTCCTGAACAGCTCAACATGGACGCCGGGATTCCTCTTACATTCACCAAGGTCAGAACCCCCCCCCACACA